TTTTTGGATAGAATACAATTTGGGGGGAAAAAAATCACCCAAAAATCATGTTCTTTTACTTAATATTGCGTTGTTAATTAATTTCAATTCCGTTGAGATTGGTATCAAAATGTAGATAATTTGATCTACTTCAATATATGACTCGAAACTAATGGTGGTTCAAGGTTCCCTTGAAATATTATTAACAAAATACGTCAAAAGGGCCAATAAAAAATTAAAATTTCTGAAATATTGTCATTGTGTGATATGATAGAATCTTTCTAATAAATAACTTGTGCTTAGTTTGGTAGTGGCAGGCATCTCAAAAACTAAGCATGGACATATATGAGCATGATATTTGACTTTGAGCCTCTGTATTTTATATCAGCGTGTTGAAGGCCTAGTCTATCGTCATAAACGCATGCTGATAATTTCACAAAAAAGTGGAAATATTGATTTGAAATCTAAACAAAATATATTTAAAATGACAACAATAATGCACAATTATTATTTAAAGTTATATATTTTCCAATATTTATCAATTTCCGGTGCACGTCTTTAAAAATGACCCTTACAGCTTTGTAATAGGGTCTTGCAAATAGACAACGTTGAATCCTGCCGAACGCTAAATGAAAGCGTTTCGCGCAGCAAAGTATAGTTAGCTAGGCATCTGTGCATAAGGCAAGGGGAGTTCGAAATGTCACATACATGTAGCACACAGCAGTACGTGTATGTTTATGCATAATTGGGCGCTATCAAAATTACGTAATAAGGCTTGATCTTTTGACCCTTTCTGGACTAGAATCCCACGTGTAAAACGTAAAACATCGCGAGCGAAGTTTGATTGACAGTAACTTCATGAATTTATAAATCACTTGTTTGTGAACTTTTGACCCTTGACGTCACATTGAGCAATTGGTCTGGACCCTATTCTAGCGCAGTTAGTTGGGGACTCGCGATCACTAAGGATCGCATCACTCGGCTTAACGCTTATAGTCGGCGAATAACAAAAATCAATATAGGGTCCAGAACTAGACTACCCAATCGTCTGCTTTTTCTCATAATTTAATGAAACGTCAAAGCTTCCTCGCTTTGCGCGGGAGGGGGAGAAAATGAATTCAGATAAGGATTAACAGTCGAGAACGGTACAGCAAATCGTCTACTTTCTCTAATAATTTAATGACACGCCAAAACTTCGCGGGAGGGGGGAACTGAATTCAGATAAGGATTAAGAGTCGAGAACAGTACACCCAATCGTCTGCTTTTTCTCATAATTTAATGAAATGTCAAAGCTTTACCGCGCTTTGCGCGGGAGGGGGAGAAAATGAATTCAGATAAGGATTAACAGTCGAGAACAGTACAGCAAATCGTCTTCTTTTTATAATAATTTAATGAAACGCCAAAGCTTTCGTGCTTCGCGCGAGAGGGGGGAAGTTCATTCAGACGAGGATTAACAGTCGAGAACGGTACAATAAATCGTCTCCTTTTCCTAATAATTTAAGGAACGTCTAAGCTTCTGCCCTTCGCGCGGGAGGCCTATCACCCACACCCCCTAATGAGCGCGCTTTGAGTGAATCGCTTGCTCACTACCGCCCCTCCCTAAAATTAGATCCTAGCTACGCGCCTGCATAAAAATATATAGCTATGATGCTGACTAAGTTGACGATATAATTTGTATAGATTTATGTCGTAGAGGAAAATGACCATTTGCGCATACTCAAAGTACTATAGATAGTCCTTAGGAAATACAATTTAGCCTTCGGCCCCGGGTATACAGGTTTAAATTTGTAAATATTGGGACATTTAATTTTGTCGGTAATTGGGGGCTAGTTTTGTCGGTAATCGTTGGCCTCTACACCCCGACACTAAAAAAGGTCTAGAGACGCCCCTGAATATAACACCATGTCACAGACACTGATAACACGTAGGGCCGTGCATCTCAGATTTAACATTGTTAAACGATCCCTTTAATCAACGATACACAACGTGGGATAAATTGGGTAAGGACAAGGAATCATCTTTTTTCCTTTCAAAGACGTCTTCAAATTATAATTACAGTGTATAAGTGGTTGTCCTGATGCCCAGAGGAGTCGAAAAATGTTTAAGTCAAAATGTAATTACTACTTCTTTACATTTCAAAAAAATGTGCCCCTCCTCGCTGTTTGAATCGATTTCCGATGCAGGCTCTGGTGCTCCCTGGAGTTAGGGAAGAAGTAGACTGAAAATTTCTTTCTCTTTCATTTGTTAGTCTCCTATTTGGTTAGGGTCAGCTCCTCTGTTTAGAGAAAGAAGCCGGCTATAGGGTCTCCTGTCATGAAGGAAATGACGTCATCCATTCAACACAGAGTTCAATTTCAAAGAAGAAAAAAAGACCCCTCAAACACATCATACGGTCAATCTGTTAAGTGAAACTGATGTCATATTAGCCTAGGCCTAATTTTCAACTACATGTACACCTGTATAAATGTTTTGAAAATGCAACATGGAAGAATCGTTGGTGTAGGAAACCGAATAACCATTTTTTTCCCATCGAAGACTTCTTCAAATTATAAATTCAAGTAATTGGTAATGGTATTATGCACTGAGGAGTCGTGCAACCTATGAAGTCAAAATTGTAAGTACTCCCTTTGCAGATTTAATGATAATATCGCCTAATCGGCTGTTTTACTAACCCGAGGATCTGCCAACTGAAGCTCCGACGCCTGCGGCGCAGGTGTTGGAGCTTCCTGGAATTAGCAGCTGTTCAGCAAAAAATGATAACTCGGCGTGAACCACTTTTTGGTCCATTCTGACCAAAATGCTACTTATGAATATTGCAGAGTTTTTGAGGGGCTGTATCTTTTGATTGAAACATCGGCGAGTCTTGAAATTTGAAATGTATTATTCTCATAACATTTTTTATTCAAATATCCAACAATAATGGTGAAAAAAGATCCCAAATTGAAAATTGAAAAATCGTTCAGACACCATAATAGTAATAGAGAGTCAATTCTAATGTGTATTGACCTCTAGCACTGTTAGGCAGCATTTGAATACATTACACTCTCAACACGCATATGCACACAATCATGCCGACAACGTGACAGTGGACTCATAATTTGAATTTTTAAATTATTCTTTCAAACATCGAAAAGTTGAAAAAATTGTATTTTACTAGATCTAGGTCTAGGCTAGACCGAATTTTCCGTCTCTTTCGTTCGTTAGCCTCTTATTGGGGTAGGGTCGGCTCTCTCTTTAGAGACGGAAGCCGTTTATACACATGTCCTTGCTAACGCCACGGCCAGTCCTGGTCGTAGCGTTTTGCCCCCAAAATCCCCCAAAATGTCATTTTACCTCGAGCATGTTATATTGTAAATTAGGCCTAGGCTATAATAAATCAGTTCCACTTACCAACTTGACTGAAATAATCAGTTTAATAGTCCCTTTTTAGGAAATTATGGGTCAAAATCGGAATCCATGTTGAAAAATCTTTTTCAACATGGATTCCGATTTTGACCCATAATTTCCTAAAAAGGGACTATTAAACTGATTATTTCAGTCAAGTTGGTAAGTGGAACTGATTTATTATAGCCTAGGCCTAATTTACAATATAACATGCTCGAGGTAAAATGACATTTTGGGGGATTTTGGGGGCAAAACGCTACGACCAGGACTGGCCGTGGCGTTAGCAAGGACAAGTGTATAAACGGCTTCCGTCTCTAAAGAGAGAGCCGGCCGACCCTACCCCAATAAGAGGCTAACGAACGAAAGAGACGGAAAATTCGGTCTAGGTCTAGGCCTACTATTTCTAGACCGAGTGTAGCCTAGATTCAATCGTCACTAAAGTACCGATTTTGAGTGAAATCAGTTGAGTTTTGTACAGTGGTGTTTGAAATGTTGAGAATCAATAGCACAGCTTTTAATACACAGCCAGGATAGTAGTCTAATGCTAATGCACCTCCATGTCTGATCGCTCGAAATCGCTGAATATGCACGAGGTTGAGAAGGGCTCTGTTCGTTCGAGTCGTGCATATTCAGCTATTTCAAGCGATCGGCGCTCGATAGCATGAATATTCATATTTTCTTTGCCACTGCGGCGCATGCGTACCTTCTCATCGCTATTTTGAATCAACGCTACGACATGGAAAAATCGTTGGTGTAGTACCCCGATTTAACCTTTTTTTCCCATCGAAGACTTCTTCAAATTATACATTCAAGTAATCAGTAGGGGCGCTGGTCCGAGAATAAGGATCGTCTTCTTTAACACGGACAGATGCGTCCTCAAAAATAAGGACCGTCTGCATTTTTGCAGACGTTTTATTTTTGATCGGCGCATTGGCGATGCAAAAAACAGATTCTGCAATGATTTTCTTGATGCATTTTACATTGACTTTGTACAGAGACCTTCACATTATGAGCAATAAATCCTTGGGAAAACGGACAACCCATAGAAGTAGACAGTGAACTAGGGTTATTTCCCTAGGTAATCCATTTTTGGCATCGCCAGCGGGCCGCTCTGTAACATGAAACCCCCAGAGCACCGATGAAAAAAAAAAAGGTCCTCGAAAATGCAGACGACCCTTATTTTTGAGGACTCATTTTGTCCTCGTTTATGAGGATATCCTTGTTTATGAGGACGATCCTCATTCTCGGACCAGCGCCCCTACTGGTAATTGGAGTTGAGCCCTGAGGAGTCGTGCACCCTATGACTATGAGGCTAGATCTAGACTAGTCTACTCCCTTTGCAGATTAATATCACCCAATCGGCTGTTTTACTAGCCCACACGAGAAACCAACAAAACCAACCGAAGCTCCGACGCCTGCGGCGCCGGTGTTGGAGCTTCCCGGAGTTAAAGTAGACTCTAGGCCCTAGGGCTAGGCCTGTATTATTGTATAGGTCTAGATCTAACGTGTACGCATTAGGCCTAACCTAGAATCTGGAAATGTGTGGTCTACTCTAGAGAGAGTAGCGCGCTAGCGCCCATTTATCAAAGTAAGATTTACTAAATCATAAAAATTTAGTATAGAAATGTATTACTCACTTCCTTGACAAAATGATGATCTTTAAAGTAGTTCCAGCCGGCAGCCTCCAGCATGCAGCTAGCCATCCAGATCCAGTGCAGCAGTGTCTTCACTCTTCAGACCGACTATTTTTTTCCACACATAAGTGGACGTGTGGGACTCGTACTCGTACTAAGTCACTACTAGTCTGAGCTAATATGTTGGTTGGTACTGCATCAATCCTTTCTCGCTTTGTTAAATTATTGCCCTTGAATACCCTTACAATTCTTCTTTCCTGGTGTTAATCTAACCTTTCCCCATACTGTGGGTTTTAAAGGAAGATATATGATATGTGGCGAAATGGCAGAGTTGACAGTTGACATCAATGGCAGGGGTGAAGTGGCAGGGATATTTGAAATTGAAATAAAACATTTCGTTCTCTACCACCAGATGGCAGCAAACCTAACTTGAGTTCCAGTCTTCTTTTCTTCAGTTTGTGACCCTCCGACAGGCCATTTTATTGAAAATCAATCTCTGAGTAACATATTTGAATACATGAATACACAAATGAATAACATATAATAGTTCAGAATAACATAAACACAACTAATATCAACCATAAAAAGCGAATACTGAAACCATAGCATATTGATAATAATAATATGATAATAATCTGTATAATTTATATACATGCAAGAAATAGATTTTTTTTTTTTAAACACTGCAACATCATGACTGAAATGATGTGGGGAATTCAATATAATACTACTAAACGATCAAAATCCTTTTAAAAATTATAAATTTTGTAATCGAATTTGTCAGTTTTGGAAGAAAGTATACTAACTTGCCTGGTATATTGCTTTGTTGTCATGGTCTTGAAGGGTTGTATAGACTTTTGTATTTCAGTATACAGCTTCGTTTCTTTAGATGTCATTCAATTATGATTTAAAACTCTTGGAGAATTAGAGAAACAAATTGTTACAATTCCATCTTATTGGATCAGTTCAAGGTTATTAAAACAATAGAGGATTTAGCTAATTCTTCTGATAATTCAAATTAAGACAGACAGATTTTATAAACATCTTAATTCTAAAACATAAGTATACTTATAGGGAAAGTTGAGTTTGGAGGGCCAGTAAATTTTCCGAATCCGATTTTTGAACCTATTTGTATTTACACAAATACATTAATCTATATTAATCTTTGGAAATTCTTTTAATTACTACTCAATGTTCCCAAAACAAACAACATGTTACGTCGGATGATTGAGCAACCATCGCCAACATTATTTCCTGGCTAAAAAATGGGGTATTGAACAGTTTAAGGTCGAATTGTTTTGAAGGGGTCCCTAAAAGAGTGTAACTTATCACGTTTCTTTATTGTCACATTTTGCAAACTTTCTGACCCCTCCATGCAAGAACTCAGCCCTTTATTTAATGTTGTCAAGAAGTCAAAGACATGGCAATGCACACGATCGTTTTTTTAATATCGTGCCTATTTATGCCTTCTCATATAAAAAAAACATGCAATAAGTGAATGACCATCCCCTCCCCCGCAAAAACCCATCAATATTATGAAGAAGTATTAAAGAAACTGAAATAAATTGCACATTATGAAAATGGTTAAAGAAAGAACAAAGATAGGAATATTAAAGATGCCAGAAATATAGCCATGAAAAGAATATCTCAAAAACCACAATTGTTTTGCGGAACAGAGGTTGCATTGGAGGCCAGGCGCGGATCCACGGGGGAGGGGGGGGGGGGTTAACAGGCCCGGTTTTAAAAAATGGTAAAGTTAATTTTAATTTTTTTTTTAAACAAAAAATGAAAATGGGGTCCCCTCCAGGCATTCTTCTGACATTCATTATTTACTTTGACACATGAAACAATTAAAACGCGCAACATTTCACAGTGAAATAAACAATTTTTCGTAAAAACCTGGATATGTATCCTCCTACTAGGGGCGGATCCAGCCGGCGGAAAAAGGGTGGGGCAAATCTTGAGAAAATATTTAGCGGCGAATTAGCCAGCCAGTGAATAAGCGGGGGTGAGGGGGGGGGGGGGGTGGGGGGTTAGGAGCACTTTTTTTTTGCTTAGGGCGGGGGGGGGATGAGGGCTGTTTCCGCCCCTGTAGGATATATCCAGGTTACGAAACATTGTTCATTTCACTGAGAAATGTGCGTGTTTTAGTCAATTTACACATAAAAGTCAATAAAACAAGGCTGGGGGTGGGGGAGGGGCGGCTGGGAAAAATACTGCGGATTCGGGGGGGGGGGGAGGGTACAAAAAATGTCAATATGGACACTATGTCAACAGTCAACAACAAACAAAATGTTTATTTGTTTTCACTTTCGTTATGTTTGGTGTGAACGTTTTGATTCTCGAACGCCCATGATGTTTTTATTATTGATTTTTTTACTTTAATTATCATTTGTTACATTGGTTCAAAAATAGTAGGCCTATGTTTAAAACAAATTTGAAACTAAATTGTATAGCTTCTGTACATTGTTAAAGTTTAAGTATTACGATGTTTTAAAAATGTCGTATTATTTATTATATTGTATGTATATAACATTAAAAAGATGTGGCGAAAATGTTTCTTTTCTTCTTTGAAACATTCTTATGATATCACGAAAACATTACATGTAGACCGTACGAATTTTTTTTTAAATTTTGAAAAACATTAAAAAAATGTCATTTTATTTGTTTTGTTAAAAACGTTTTTGAATTGTTTTTTGTGACATTTGTACAACGTCTTAATCTAAGGATAACAACATTTTAACAACATTCTTAAAATGTTCTGCTTATATCATATTTATAACATTTAAAAGATGTTGTAAAAACGTTTCTCTTCTTCTTTGAAAACGTTATTATGATATCACGAAAACATTACATGTGGACTGTTTGTAAGATGTTTTTTAAACATTTTGAAAAACGTTAAAAAAATGATTTTAAATTGTTTTGATAAAAACGTTTTTGGAATGAATTTTTGTGACACTTGTACAACGTTTAAATGTAAAGTTAACAATGTTTTAACAACATTCTTAAAATGTTCTGTTTATATCATATTTATAACATTTAAAAGATGTTAAAAAAACGTTTCTCTTCTTTTTTGAAAACATTATGATATCACGAAAACATTACATGTGGACTGTTTGTAGGATATTTTTTAAACATTTTGAAAAACATTCAAAAAATGTTATTTTAATTGTTTTGTTTATAACGTTTTTGAAATGTTTTTTGTGACATTTGTACAACGTCTTAATGTGATGATTACAACATTGTAACAACATTCTTAACATGTTCTGCTCATATCATATCAATGACATTCTAAAGATGTTAGAAAAACGTTTCTTTTCTTCTTTGAAAACATTTGTATGATATAAAAAAAACTTTTCATTTGGACCGTTTGTAAGATCTTTTTTTAAACATTTTGAAAAAACGTTACAAAATGTTATTTTAATTGTTTTATTTATAACGTTTTTGAAATGTTATTTTTTGACATTTGTACAACGTCTTAATGTAAGGATTACAATATTTTAACAACATTCTTAAAATGTTCTTTTTATATCATATCAATTACATTTAAAAGATGTTGTAAAAACGTTTCTCTTCTTTTTTGAAAACATTCTTATGATATCACGAAAACATCACATGTGGACTGTTTGTAAGATGTTTTTTAAACATTTTGAAAAACATTCAAAAAATGTTGTTTTTATAGTTTTGTTAAAAACATTTTTGAAATGTTTTTTTGTGACATCTGTACAACGTCTTAATGTAAGGATTACAATATTTTAACAACATTCTTAAAATGTTCTGCTTATATCATATTAATGACATTTTAAAGATGTTAGAAAAACGTTTCTTTTCTTCTTTGAAAACATTATTATGATATTAACAAAACATTACATGTGGACTGTTTGTAAGATGTTTTGTAAACATTTTGAAAAACATTCAAAAATGTTATTTTAATTGTTTTGTTTATAACGTTTTTGAAATGGTTTTTGTGACATTTGTACAACGTCTTAATGTGAGGATTACAACATTGTAACAACATTCTTAACATGTTCTGCTCATATCATATCAATGACATTCTAAAGATGTTAGAAAAACGTTTCTTTTCTTCTTTGAAAACATTTGTATGATATAAAAAAAACTTTTCATTTGGACCGTTTGTAAGATCTTTTTTTAAACATTTTGAAAAAACGTTACAAAATGTTATTTTAATTGTTTTATTTATAACGTTTTTGAAATGTTATTTTTTGACATTTGTACAACGTCTTAATGTAAGGATTACAATATTTTAACAACATTCTTAAAATGTTCTTTTTATATCATATCAATTACATTTAAAAGATGTTGTAAAAACGTTTCTCTTCTTTTTTGAAAACATTCTTATGATATCACGAAAACATCACATGTGGACTGTTTGTAAGATGTTTTTTAAACATTTTGAAAAACATTCAAAAAATGTTGTTTTTATAGTTTTGTTAAAAACATTTTTGAAATGTTTTTTTGTGACATCTGTACAACGTCTTAATGTAAGGATTACAATATTTTAACAACATTCTTAAAATGTTCTGCTTATATCATATTAATGACATTTTAAAGATGTTAGAAAAACGTTTCTTTTCTTCTTTGAAAACATTATTATGATATTAACAAAACATTACATGTGGACTGTTTGTAAGATGTTTTGTAAACATTTTGAAAAACATTCAAAAATGTTATTTTAATTGTTTTGTTTATAACGTTTTTGAAATGGTTTTTGTGACATTTGTACAACGTCTTAATGTGAGGATTACAACATTTTAGCAACATTCTTAAAATGTTCTGCTTATATCATATCAATGACATTCTAATGATGTTAGAAAAACGTTTCTTTTCTTCTTTGAAAACATTTGTATGATATAAAGAAAACCTTTCATTTGGACCGTTTGTAAGATCTTTTTTAAACATTTTGAAAAACGTTCAAAATTGTTATTTCAATTTTTTTGTTTATAACATTTTTGAAATGTTTTTTGTGACATTTGTAAGACGTCTAAATGTAAGGATTACAATATCTTTACAACATTTTAAAAATGTTTTTGTTATATCATATCTATAACATTTAAAAGATGTTGTAAAAACGTTTCTCTTCTTTTAAAAAAAAC